ACGTATTGCATCAAACACAGTGCGGTTATTGTGGTCAGCGTGAAACGGATAGTGCCTACAAGAATGCATGAATACTTCATGCATTGCGCCAAACGCAGTGCGGTCAGCGTGAAACGCATAGCGCCTACAAGACTGTGTGAATACTTCACGCATTGCGCCAAACACGGTGCGGTCGGCGCGGCGCGGCGGCGGAAGTTAAAATCATTAAACCAAATTTTGTGTTTGTTCTTTCATCATTTTTTCGTTCATTTGTTATGAATGGAAGGTCTTGTCCATAGGTTTAAATGGAGGATCAATCGATTTATCGCAAATCACGCCACGCCACTGTGAGCCGCACTGGAAAAAAAAAAAAAAAAACATCATTGGATCTAGAGTCCAGACTCTTAAAAACATCGATAAGAGAAAATACTCTTGATTCAATCAGATTTAAGCTTAATCAAGAACCAAGCCTCTTAATTTGAGCGGATTTCCTTCTGATTTAAGCTTAAATACGATTGAATCAAGAGTCCTTTTTCTTGTCAATATTTTCAAGAGTCTGGACTCTAGATCCAATGTGTTTTTTTCCCAGTGTGTTTGTATCCTGTTATCGCAAGAAATTTTCGATCACCTGATAGTGCACATGCAGCTTAATTTGTTCGTCTGCCACTTATGTAGTTACAACTTTCATATCGACGGTGTAGGTCCGCAACCACGTATTTCGTTTGCGGTGTTCGAAAATCTCCGCCTCTGTATTATTTGTACGAAAGAGAACTGATCTACATTATTCCTTGAAGTTTTTGCAGAGTTTTCTTTGCACAGAGAATACAAATCACAGCAGTTTCAAAGAATTGACGTTAAATAGCTTTCCTTTCAAAAAATAAAGTATTTTTCCCCCCAGTGCAAGTGTACGTTACGGATGCGTCACCTGAGGATTAGGGATGAAAAGCAAACAAAGGAAAGCGTACGTGATACTTGAACGCGCCACAACCACCAGCTTCGTGCGCCTTGCCGGTCAATGATTGTATCTCTCAAGTGACCTCATATTTCGTCGGTCTCTCAATCACGATGTTTATGATTTTACTCTTATGGCTTTACGATCCATCTTTTTAATTTGGCGAGTCGGCTTTTATTAGGGGTCTTGCGGCTTATTATCCAAATTGGATCAGCAAACTCGCCTCTAATAATCATAATTAATATACTCATTTGCTCTTGTTTCTTCATTCGACTGGAACAAAGAGCCCATGTGAAATTTCACTTGAAGATTGCCAGGCGCGCGATTGTCCTCTCGAATTTTTACTTTCGTAGTTCTTAAAGTTTTTTGTTAAATACTCGTAGGCACGAATATTTTTTATGATCAGTACCTATATGACTTTGAACATAAGCTTTCTTTTATGATGAAACTAAAAAATCCTTAAGTGCTCGGCAATACTATAATTACTATACAGCTCAACAGTTTTGCATAATTAGTTCAGTCCGTCTATGTAGGGTACTCTGGATGAAGGTTATTGTTGGAAATATTCCCTTAAAAGTTGTCTAACAAAGTAGCTTTCTCGTAAACATTTAATCTGATCACATATGTACTTTCAGACAAATCAAATTTTCACTCCTTGTCCGAGCGATCTCTAACGGTCTACTGGATTGATTTCTGTGAAATTTTTGCTGTCGGTAGTGATCCCTAAGTACGGAAATATTTCTTTCTTAATGTTTCTTTGAACGAAGTAACGGGAGTCTTTCCATTCGGGAAAAAAATGTCCATTGGAGTCCGTTGTGTAGCTCTCATTGACCTAGGAACGTCCTCCAAGGTTCAAATCTTCACCTCAGTTGAGTCAAAAGTTGGAAAGGGTAGAAGGGACTTTCAGATCACTCTGTGCAACAGCAGAGACTTCAACGCAGAAATGAAAAGTTAGCATTCAAAATCCTAACCAGTGATATCGTAATATTCGTTTAATTCCGATCAAATTTTGGCGGGTTTTAGTTTCAATTTCCTCAAATAAATGTTCCTCTTTCTCTTTAAATCTTGGCCTTTTGGACAGAGTGTCATTGAAATTTATTTTAATAAATATACTTTCCCTCTTTTTGAATTATCATTAGTGTTAAAAAAGCGGAGCTCTTTGTTTGTATTCGACGTTTCCTCTTGTTATTCACTGAGCGTGATATTATAAGTAACTTTTTTAGAGCACTCTATTTTCGAGATTCAACATGAAAGTTCGAACTCAATGTTTCTTATTTGCATATCATCAGCAGATCATATATCATGATCGAATTATATGGGAGAAGATAGGTCAAATAAAAAATCGGATTTTCTGTGCGGAATAAGTATTATGTATCAATATTCTTAACTTCAGTTTATTTCATTTCCGTTACTCTACAGGTTTGTACATGTTTACAATAATAACGTTATTTACTAAGATTTACACGTGATATTTTACATTTAGTTTCAACTTTGAGTCGAAACGAACGTACAAAAATTAGTTGGGAAACTAAACACGAACATATATGCATTAGAGGTAGGAAACTTAAATTTTATCTGTATTCAACGAACAACGTGACTAAATCAATGCGTAGACTCCTAGGCAAGATTTTATTTTGCAACAAAAACAAATCTATTTACAACAATGTTTAACATATAGAACTAATGCAATAACCTATACTTATCCTTTTTGAAAAACTTTGGATTAAGCTGTCTGGTATGTACCAATTTATATTGGTGAATGGTATGTATTCAATTTGAATATTTGACTCGGAACTACTGTTATGGAAAATGTATTGTTGTTTAAACTAAAAAATGTAAATTTTTCTTCTACACCAATATGATTGTTTTTTCTTATAAAGAGAAACCTACGGTAAATTTTATTTATTTGAAAAATACAAAACTGCGGTGGGTCTTTTTATTTATTCTTTTAAAGGAGAACTATTTATTGATGAACTACACAGATACGCTTATTACTAATAAGAATATCACAGAAAAATCAAAGGAAAAAGTAAAGCCATCTCTCATATCTACAGAATATATTAATAATACACGGTCCTGAAACTCCATCAGGTTTAAGTTATCTCGTGGAAAGGCTCCGAATTTTGTTGAATTCGGCTTGAAATCTTTGCCAAGTGTGATTGGACAAGTTATTAAATTCATTGTTTTTAAAATGTGTTGCCAATTCCTAATAAATAATAGTACATCCCTTTTGATATCATTGCTTTATACCAGCGCAATATTTTGATTCAAGTTCATTCAGCTTGAGAAAAGTCAGTATTACAAATAATTACTGGGAGCTCTTTGATTCGGAAAAATCGACCCAATGAATGTAACTTAATTTTTTTTTAAACAAATTGAAGATAACAGCAAGTAAAGATGTTTGGCTTTTCTCCGCTAGAAACTCTCCTAAGAGACAGCCTTTTGTAATTATAAATGAAATATATTATTAATGAACAAGTATGAATAACTTTAAAAAGTGTGTGGAAAAAAAAAATTCTCTGTAGAATAAACCCAGATCAGATTCAGGCTTTTTTAAGTTTTCAGAGCAATAGAAAAGCCCAAAATAAGAAGAAAGACAACACTACAAGATACAAATTTCTATATACTTAAATTTCCTGACGACCAAAGTACTATGTACATTTTTATGGAACACAAATACTTTGAAGATGTGAAAGTCTAGATATGGACAAATTTTATACACGTAAGGGCAAAAAACAACAAGCACTGAATCATCTTATGATTGACATTATACAAAAAAAAAACAGGGGAAAAATATCACAGTTACGAAGTCATCATTACATGACATCCGCTCAAATCCGCTGAAAACGCAGATTGCATTAACCTTCAATACTTTGATTGATTGCAAGTGAAAGAAGAAATAAATAAACAAACAATAACTTATATAAGTTGGAAAGTTCAGGAGCAAGGACACAGTATACTTATTTGTCAAGGAGGGTCTTGTTTTCTGGGGGGTTTGAAAGACTTACGTCGTACCTTGAAGTACTCTCAACCGAGGCTTTGTGATAACAATTTGATCTCAGGGACACAAAGGTTTTTCTTGAGGATTCGAAAGTGTTTTACTTGATCACAGCGCTTGATTTTATCGCACTAGAAAAAAAAACACATTGGATCTAGAGTCCAGACTCTTAAAAACATCGACAAGAAAAAATACTGTTGATTCACTTCGACTTTTCCTTGAATCGAAGAGCCAAGCCTCTTGATTTTGGCGGATTTACTTTTGATTCAAGCAAAAATTCTGATTGAATCAAGAGTATTTTTTCTTGTCAATGTTTTTAAGAGTCTGGACTCTAGATCCAAGCGACTTTTTTCCAGGGAGTGCTTTGAGAGCTTCCAACGGCCTGAGCCAAGTACTTGCGAGATAATTTTTTTTCCTGGAAATTTTGCAGGATTCATCGGTTGACTCATTAACACTTAGACCTCGGCGCAAGATCTGTATTCGTTCAGCGGTTTGAGTCCACGTGCGTGGAAGGGCTTATATAAAATTTCGTTTGACTTAGTCGACCTCCTTGTTGACGACAGACTTCTTCTTGTGGAGCGCCATGTTTTAGGCGTTCTCGAAGAAGGCCGAATGTGTTTGAGTCCACGTGCATGGAAGGGCTCATCCAAAATTGGGTTTGACTTAGTCGACCTCCTTGTTGACGACGGGCTTCTTCTTGAGGAGCGCCATGTTCTGAGCGTTCCCGAAGAAGGCCGAGTGCGTTTGAGTCCACGTGCGTGGAAGGGCTTATCCAAAATTGCGTTTGACTTAGTCGACCTCCTTGTTGACGACGGGCTTCTTCTTGAGGAGCGCCATGTTTTGAGCGTTCTCGAAGAAGGCCGAGTGTGATTGAGTCCACAAGCATGAAAGGGCTTATCGAAAATTTCGTTTGACTTAGTCGACCTCCTTGTTGACGACAGACTTCTTCTTGAGGAGCGCCATGTTCTGAGCATTCTCGAAGAAGGCCGAGTATCCAAAATTGCGTTCGACTTAGTCGACCTCCTTGTTGACGACGGGCTTCTTCTTGAGGATCGCCATGTTTTAAGCGTTCTCGAAGAAGGCTGAGTATCAAAAATTGCGTTTGACTTAGTCGACCTCCTTGTTGACGACGGGCTTCTTCTTGAGGAGCGCCATGTTCTGAGCGTTCTCGAAGAAGGCCGAGTGTCCGGTGAGGACCTCGGTGGCGCGGACGTCCTTGGCTCGCTCCTCCATGTCGCGCTTGAGCTTGGCGCGTCGGTTCTGGAACCAGGTGATGACCTGGGCGTTGGTGAGCCGCAGTTGGTAGGCGATCTCGTCCCGGTCGGCCGGCGAGAGGTACTTCTGGTGGATGAACCGCCGCTCCAGCTCCATGATCTGCACGTTCGTGAACGCCGTCCGCGACTTGCGCTTCTTCTTCGCTTGCTGCCGCGAGTTGAACAGGTTCAGCGGGTTCCCTTGCGCGTCTGCAACAGAAAAAAATCGGAAGACTGTTAGGACTAGGGTAACTTCAAGAAGGAGGTACATTATAGGCAAATTTTGAGAGAGGAGGAAAATCTGCTGATTTCCGTGGGAGAAGGGGGGTCGGAAGGACCAAAACATTCTCGAAAAACGCCGTGACATAGATCAAAACTGATCAAAATAAATGTTCAAAATAATACCATATTCTATTCCCAAATCGAAGATAAGTCGAGTCAATCGACTCGTGCATCCGCAGTTCAAACTTATGAACAATTAAAGTAATTTAGAGTCATAGCGTCAAATATGATGAGAGATAATCAAATTTGACTCGAAAGTAGAGTTAAAGATGACTCAATCTTATCTGCAAAATGAAAACAGAATATTGTTATTTTTAACGGTAAAACTTGTAAGTATATTTATTAACTCTTAAATGCAGGTAGTGACTCTGTTGTTTCGCCTTAGCCCTCCTTAAATGACGCTCCTGGTGTTAAAACATTGACTTTTCCAATCATCAGGAACGGAAACATAGCGAGTCAAGTTGACTCATAGAGAGAAACTCACTGGAGAATCAAGTGTACGTTGTATGAACGTATGTACGTTCAGAGACTTAAACGCAAGGTAAACATTGTAGAGATGCGGGCGAATCAATCGTAAAGTCAAAATATAAGACTAAAATATATCAGAGGTTTTATCACAACGAGCGATCTCAACTCAAAGCCGCTTGAGAATCAATTCCACGGTGACTAGTATCAGAGACTTAAACGCAAGGTAAGAATTGTAGAGACGAACAAACCGATCATGTTACGGTCAAGCGAGCTGATTTTAAAAATAATGTATATCCTATAAAACGATACTAAGTAAATTTCCCGGCTTTTTATAAGCTTGATGAAATACACGCTGACAAGAACCGAGAAAACTTGATTCAGATGATTCCCCCTCATATTTTCTGAATGTGCCAATTGCGTAGGGATTAAATCCGACCTATTTCAATGCTAAATTAACTATGTATTTTTTAAGAGCCCTAAACGTGTTACACTTGCTTAGCTCTAATATCTTCGTACGCCGGATATTACCAACCGTATTATAAGACATCTTCTTCATACAAATTTCTAGTGAAATTTTGGACGTAAATAAACAAAAAGAAAATTTTAGAACGGTGTGTTGCTTAATAGTAATGCATACACTGAAAAAAAAGTAGCTTGGATCAAGCATGATAATTCTTGAATTTGCCGCCAAGAATTTTCTCCATCTTGTTTTAAGCTGACTTTTTCTTGATTCAAGAGAATTAATGCTTGGGTTAAGCAAAAAAAGTAGCTTATATTAACCAGCAAAATTCATTATTTAAGAAGAAATACTTCTTGGCGGCAAATTTAAGATTATTTTTTTTCCAGTGTAGGTGTCAGGTGATGCTTGAAAAAGCCCATAAAATTTAAACCGCCGTCAATCCGATGACCAGTCCTGGCGACCACCTCAAATTTTGAAACGAGCTCCTTAGCATAGCAAGATAGAGTGTTAACGTCGACTCTCAGGTCCCGGCTTGAAAAGCTCCAACGGAAGGACGAACTAAATCTTCCCCCGAACCACGGCGAACGCTAAGAGTGATAAAGGTGGCGATGCCACCGGCGACGACGGTGAATGGTGACTCCCGACTTGAATCGGTGTAAACGAGGTGGTGATAGGCGAGGAAACGAGTTGACAGGTGAACAATGAAAAGTCGTAAAAAGAGTGGTTAACACGCTGCACCGCGCGGCGCGGCACCCCCGAAAACGAACAAGTGCATGTAAACCCGCGGTTCGGGCGACGGTGGGTGTTGAAACGGGGATCGGACATCATTTAAATGGACCTTGGACGATTCAAAATATTTTCATGCCGAGCGGGATAGGCATCGACCCAATTGCCGTCTTTTCACGTTATTCCGTTGGTTCTTCGTGTTGTCGCATGGAAGCTGGAGGAATTCATGGCCATGCTGGCAACATTCCGATCGGACCTGGGAACCACGGCTGGATACAGGGATCGCCGCCCCTGCAACGGTGCCGAATGTTGGATACAAAAAGGTTCCCGTGTTTGAATAGTGGAGAGGAATAAAACTCTATATCACGTATTAGTAATTTATCCCTGATTCGCTCTCGATTCGTTATCAACTTAAGGACCAATTAAAGATTTGACACAAGCAGGGGTTGTGCTAAGTTATTACCTTTGACGTATTTGCAGACAAATGTAGAATTTCCAAGAGAGAAACGTAAATACTTTGCTCACTGAAAATACTGCAGGAACACAAGAACATTAGTTTTATCACGAACGGAAGAGATTGTTTACGCTCATGGCGTTAAAAGGAGGTGGCGTAAAATAATGATCTAGCATTTGAACCAGTTTCATGCTAAACTTATAAAGGATCTACCTCCAGTTTGGCAAAATTCGATAATATTCCACGGTATTTAGAAAAGAATGCACTTCGGAGCAACATTTTGAAAATGTTTAAAAAAATTGGTTGCCAGCTCAGATGGGTAAGGAGGGAGAGCTTCTCGATGCACTGCCCTCTCAACATGAATCTGATATTAATGTCATCTCTTTTTGAACATAAATTGAATTCATTGGATTTCGTCACGATGAGATTCAAAATTTGAACCTAGGGTTTCAGAGTGAGAGGTCAAAGTCGCCGGGTATCAAAACACTCGTGAAGAACATGAAATGCAAAACTTGGCGCCCAATTTTAGTATCAAACTAGAGTTAGAGAGGTGAGAAACATCATGTTTCACTGGATGATGCCAACCCCGGTGATTTTCTTACGATTTTTATTAATTTTATGACTATTTCATGTCCGACGACTGCAGTTAAAAATGCGTGTCTTCATTTCATCGTTTAAAAATCTTAAATTAAGTTCTAATTTTTTCATAGAAAACCATCCTTGAAAAATTCTCGGACGTTATTGTGTGAATGAAGAAAATTAACCAAAAATTTTATGAAAAAATGTTGTTTAGTTTTTTCTTTTAAAAAAAGGAAGACAAAAAATATATGAGCGGAGATTTGCAACGTTGCGATTAGAGGTACACATTTTTCGACTCTAGTCCTCGACATGTCCATGTGTGAATAAATTAGGGTGGAAATTGTCGAATTTCCCGGAGAAGTGGCAGCGAGGCGGCGGTGCGCGGCTTCGGCGGGTGCTACCGCAAAAGTTGGTTAAGATGAGACATCTCATATATTTCATAAAAACGGGCCGGCATCGCTTGAACTGAGATTGCCGCCTTAAGGCCCCCGTCACACCTGATCCGAGTATTACGGCGTCGGCATCCTTTGAGAAAACACCGCACAAACACCTTAGCCTTCCTCTTTAATCCATCTTTTTCTCTCTAATTTGATTCATCCTCCCCCTCGCACCTCGCCCGCACGCCAACCTCCATCAGTCCATCCTTCTTCCACTCACGACGCTCATCTCGCTCCTTCCCTCTTTAATCTCCTCCGCACACCCTTTCCGCCCTGGATGTACAAGGTGTCTCACAGGGTTGAAGGAATTTTCCGCCGCGATTTTTCACAAATTTTCTTTGTTTTATTTTTATTTTCCTCTCTCTCAAAAATTGGATTAAAAAAATTGTATTTCTCTCAAAAATAGGATTCAAAAATTTGGATCTCTTTTAAAAATTGGATTTATACCACAGGGAGCAGACATTATGGCAGTGTTTTCGGGAATGATAATTTTTAGACGGTAACAACTTGAAAAACCTTAAATAATTTACCTTCACCTTTACCTTATGTATTTACTAAGCTCCGTAGGGTGCTTTCTGTTTTCTGGGAACTTCAATAATTGTAGTCGCCAACTGTCTGCGTTTTTCTTCTTTACATGTATGATTTAATCTATGTATCCAAGTTTGCTTCGAAAACTTTTCATATACGAAACCTGCTAAAAACATAGGATTGGCTGGGCCACTAACTCTTAAGACTCCACTTTACGCAGGAGTATTCATTGAAGTTAAAACACTTAGAGGGTAATTTTTTGAGTTGCGCCTTGACCGCGCACTCATCGCCTTAACGTTTTTCGAATTCTATAAACCTCCAAAGAAATAGAGCATCGTACGCGTTGGAAAAGAAAGAAAAAAAAGGAAAAAACTCTTAAAACATTTCATTAGCGACCCAGTAAAAACTCATGATGAAACCGCACGGGGTTTCTTTTTAAAAAAAATCCATCCCTTCCGAAAAAGAGGAGAAAATATTCAATAGCTCGTAGTAAATCAACTGGAAAAGTAAATCTGTACACAAATAACGATTACAACATATCCGAGGAAGCATGATTTCTCAGGATCGTGGTTAATAATGTTTCTGAGCAGGGTGTAGTTGCATGATCTGGCGGCTCACCCACACCTCCTCTCGCGCACGCACACCAAGACACGATAATAAGATCTCCTGAATTACTGCTGTCTTCGGCCGGGCGGCGAGCGCTTGGCCGCTCCTAAGGGCGTAACCCAGTTTTCGCGTGAGCTCTGGGAAGCATTGAGTTATACGGGAGAGAGAGCTCACCTCAAAATGCACATGGACCCTTATCCCGGAGGATGGACGACTTGCGCCCAGCGCCGGGGCCGGGATACTACAAAGCACCGCGAGCTTCTGACGACATGATACAATTATGGCTAAGTATCGGCATCGGCCAGGTTCGGTTCGGCGCGATGCGAGTATTTATGTTTTACACGGGATTTCAAATGGAATCAGGAAATATGGGCTTCGCAATCAATAGCGCCAATGAGAAATAGTTGCACCGCGCTCCGGAGAAACTTCGGAAAACTTGGTTGCGACCGACGGGCGAGGTTTTCTGCTATGCAGTCAAAGTTTGCACCTGCAGTTCTGATATCAAGCGCATCAGTTAAAGAGCCGCCTAGTGAGTCGGGTCAATAGGAGAGGTCGGACAATATTTGGAAACTTTAGAAGCTTATAACTCCCTTTATACAAAATTTAGAGGCTTAAAAAGTGGTGCCCTTTGTTTCCTCGTGAAATTTTCTACTAAAAGCACCCCTCAAAA